GATTGCTGGGTGAGTCGGTGTCAGCTGTGTCTCCTCAACAGACGTCGAGAGCTAAAGAGAATTGGCTGCCTAATGAAGCTAAATGAATAGATTCGAAACCAATTCATTTGGATATCCAGACTATTAGGCGGTATTCTAGGTGTTATAGTAATAAATAGTGGAGGCCTAGAAAGATGGCGGCATGTTTGTTAAGAGAAACTTAATTTTGATGATCATCTTCTAAGATATCTTTATACACTATTATATGAAATGAAAGTTCTCCCAGAATCACAAGTGATTGTTGGCAAGCGGGATTCAAGGACTGGGAGATGAGCAAGAAATTAAATAAAGATTTTAGTCCCTTTAGGTCATCTAAGCGATATAGAGTTTTTTTCAATTTCCTCACAATGAGATGAACAGGCCCCACATCTCCATTTAATTTCACTCAGCCTTGTTTTAAAAGGTATTTTTCCATAGGATGGACTGTTAATTGCACTTAGGATGGGTCTCCTTAGCCATGCATCTGACTTATAAATATACCGGGTTTACGATCAAACGTTGAAAATTTGGATGATTACTATCGTAAATGACGCTGCTAAAGGTAGATAATTTGAGGTCTCTCCAACCAAATGACTATGATGGAACAATAAAATCATACCATTTCTATACAGCAAAAATTGGAGGCCATACCATACAATTTTTCATAACTAAGTCTGCCCTGGTACTTGAGTGGGTTGACCGAGTTTAAGCAACTTGATCTTGTTGTCAAGGTAACTTAGCTCAAGGGATATTGTTTGAAGATCTCTGATATTGCATGTATTATAGATTCCAGCATCAGAACGTGGACTTGGTACATTCTCAGATGCTTCGCCGGAATCGCAGTCGGCATTGTTAGTGAGTCTCATGCTGACGCACCAAGCTACAAACTCATCAAAAGAGACAAATGAAGTCAATCCTTCGATCAAAGTTCTGCCGAAAGCGGTTACACTATCACTCCTCTTTCCTTTATGGCCCATCTATCCACTCCTTACCCTCATATCCCACTCCCACCATATCACAATTTCTCATTTATTTGCATTCCACTCGTCAAAATGTGTGCCAGTTTTTGGCAAAATTTAGTGTGGCCTCAACACACCCGCTGTTCATCTCGACACTCTCTTTTCCGATCGACTGATCCGACTCGGACCTCCCATCCGGATCTTCATCATGGCGCCATGGATTAGTTTCTGCTCTTACTGCTTGACCGATTTCACTCTGTTCCAGTCACAGGAGCCATTTCTTAGGACCTTAGAAGCACGTACATTGTCACCTCACGAGCCGAGCGCCTAGGCTCTGATTTCCATGCTTGAGATTTCCGGCATTGCCTTCAAGGGTCGTCGTCTCCTTGATTAAAGCCGTGTAGCCTGAGCAAACTGGACACTCCAATCTCTGCTCGTATGCAGCTTCTTAAGTGGATCTCTGGTACAGTTTGGCTATAACTTCGAATTTATGTGACGGTCTGCTTATCGGTCCGCCTAGAAACTGGACTGCCAGGCCCCCAAAGTTGTGCGGGTTTATTCGAAAAGACTTCAATCATTGATGAAGTCTTCGCTTGATTGTCGAAACCCCCACTCCTCCTTTGATCATTGTGATCTTTTTTCCTCTGGTTTGCTATAGATCCCTGATCCAGGCGTCTTCATTTTGCTGGCCTTGCTGAATTCTTGTTTGCTTAAGTAGTGGGCATTGTTATCGCAAACTCTACCCAACTCCAATCTCATGTCTATTTTATTTTTTCCCCAATTATGTCAATGGCCTCCCCGATTTTCCGCATACTTTTCTTTTCCCCGTAAAAGGCCATTCTTTCTGCTGCCTTCCAATTGATATCGTGTCCAGTCTGCGATGTGTTCCGCTAATTCTGATCTTTTGGTATCCATTTTCCTGCAGGGTCTTCGATGTTCCTTGATTCGTATTTTAATTTGTCCTTTTGTTTCCAAAATAGATTTATGTTCGCATGCATGGCATGAAATACAGTAAACTACTGAACAATCCAGTTTGTCTACCCTTTCATGTTGCGCTGGTAGACTTGTAAAAGTGTTTGTTTCTCTTTCATGGCCACCCAAATATTCCATTTCCTCAATATTGGCCGTAGCTTTTGAATTAGTTCGAAGGAAGGTATGCATATCCGCTTTTTTTAATCCTTCATCGTCCTTACTGGCCTTTCATAGTCCCCGTTCTGATATCGGCCTTTCACGGCCCATATGTTTTTTGTATCACTCCGCTAGGGTAGCTATTGCCGAGGAAGATCCTAGTCAATTTGTTCAACTCCTCGTCCCACAATTCTACATCTGTTACGCGTAGGCTTCAGATAATCAGGCTTCTCATTATTCCAATCTTCAGCCTGTAATTGTGATGGGAGCAAAAATTGAGTATTATCCCAGCATAAGACTTCTTTCTGAACAATTTCTTTTTCAGCGTCCCATTAGAGTGAATCACTTCAACTTCCAGAAACGGTAACCGCTCATCTTCCTCTACTTCCATCGTGAATTGAATTCTTTGATCAATCTGGTTTACAAACTTCAGAAGCTATTCCAGCTTTTTTCTTTCATGTGACTAAAGTGCAAGTAATCATCCAAGTGCCGCATGAGCATTGTCGATTGTAGTGTTGCCATCTTGAACTTCTCTTCTATTTTGTTCATACATACGTTTGCCAAAAGTGATGAGAACAGTGATCCCATATAAAGTCCAAATATTTGTTCATAGATGTTCCCGTTGAATGTAAAATATGTTGTCCTTATTGTCAAGTTGATTAGTCTTGTTAAGGACTCCCCCCTGATCCGCTGTGATTTCAACATATCTTCCTCTCGGTCCAGAAATTCCAGCAGGGCTGTTAGTGCATTTTCTTCAGAGATATTTGTATACCTGGATTCCACATCGAAACTTAAAAATAAGTCCGTTTCTTCCAGTACCATGTTCATGCGTTTTTGAGAGAATTTATATGATTACTTTACGGTGTTTGATAGCCTGTCGTTTAATTTCTTGCAATTCAAGCATGTGAACTTTGTCCATTTCTGAGTTGCTCCATACTTGTTCTTGACTATCAGTCTTAGTAGTTTGCCTTTATTGCATATCTTCGATAATCTTTAAACCGTTGGTCATCGTGCATCCTTTCTTATTATTAAATTTATGTCAATGTGTCAATTTCCCCATTCCTATACATATATTTAAGTATGTCACGTAAGATTCCATTTATCTTCATAGTTAGGTCCTTGTTTAGTATACGATATGTGGTCCTGTCTCGTAGAATATATTCCATCTTCTCGTATATCATTTTTTATCCATTATTATTTTCGCTTCTCCTTTATCCACCTTAAGTATTAACTGTTCATTAGTCTCCTGGACTTGCATATCCTGGCAAATCTGTTCCTGCTCGTCGGTTCTTGATGTGTCAAGGTCTATAGAATTTGTTCCATCTCCATTTCCCATTTTGTCTCCAATGGAATTTTTCAGAGATGATGATAACCTCCACCAAGATGTCTCCTAGAAATCTTTACTCATTTTGAAGTGAAAAGTTGAATTCTTCTTCAGGATCGTGGTTGCTTCATGATTAAGAGGAAATGATGCTAAATTCACTACTTTCTTCCGATTGTCGTGCTTATCAGTAGTTGTTGTCACCTCGAAAACTACTTCAACTGGGCGTAGTAGCTTTAACATTGGCTGTCTTATAATTCCAAAATTGTGAGATCAATTATCGTGTCATCTTGTTATCAAGTCAGAGATTCTACGTGATTTTCTGTTGGTCATACCCGGGAGTTTGTAAAAGTCTTCCGGAGTCATATCATTAAGCTACGCTAGTACTATAGACAGGCAAAGTACTGAATACAGCCTGACAAGGAAGACAATTGTAAGTCAATCTTGTCATATGACCTTTTTAAACTGTTGCCAACGTTATGGTATCACATGTGATTTCTGTGACCCTATCATTCGTATAAAGTTAATGAGTTTCTCCAGCAATCTTTTATTCAGAAACTAAGTGAGACTTATGATACGGAGAGAAATAACCAGTTGAAGTTTATCGATATTAGGTCGAAGTTCCGGCGTGATATGGCCATGCTCCTGATTCCGGAAGACTTTCAAGAACTCTTAAGTATGACCGACAGACTAGAAACGAGATTATTTGGCAGGCAACAGAAAGAATGGCATCGTACGGTGAAAACACAAGGATGCGGAAGATTAGGTGAGGCCATTGACATATTTGAGGAAAAATATATAATGGACACGAGATTGTAGTAAGGCAGAGTTCGCGATAACATTACTTACCACATAAGCAAATTTTGGCAAAACAAGAATACAGCAAGGCCAGTAAAAGAAGACGCCTGGATCAAGGATGCATCGCTAACCGGAGAAAAATGGATCACGATGAGAATAGAGAGGGATAGAGATTATTGGAAATCGAGAGATGACATTACCAGTGAGTGGTATCTGTTCGAATAAACCCGCACAACTTTGAGGGCCTGGCAGTCAGGGATCTAGGCGGACGGATAAGAAAACCGTCACAGAAATGAGATGCCATGGCCAAACTGTACCAGAAATCCACTTAAGATGCCGCACACGACCAGAGATAGGAGTGCACAGTTTGCTCAGGCTACATGGCTTTAATCAAGGAGACGACGACCCGTGAAGGCAATGCCTGAAATCCCAAGCATGGAAATCAGAGCCTAAGCGCTCGGCTCGTGAGGCGACAATGTACGTGCTTCTAAGGTCTTGAAAAATGGCTTCTGTGACTGGAACAGAGTGAAATCGGTCAAGCAGGAAGAGCAGAAACGAACCTACGTAGCCATGATGGAGATCCAGATAGTAGATCCGAGTCGGATCAGCCGATCGGAGAAGAGAGTGTGGAGATGAACAGCGGGTGTGATGAGGCCACACTAAATTTGTCAAAAACTAGCACACATTTTGACGAGTGGAATGCAAACAAGTGAGAATTTGTGATAGGGTGGGAGTGTCATAGGAGGGTAATGAGTGGATAGATGGGCCAGGAAGGAAAGAGGAGTGATAGTGTAACCGCTTTCGGCAGAAATTTGGTCGAAGAAATGATTTCACTTATCTCTTTTGATGAGTTTGTAGCTTAGTGTGTTAGGATGAGACTTACTGACAATGCCGACTGCGACGCCGGCGAAGCATCTGAGAATGTACCAAGTCCAGGTTCTGATGCTGGGAATTATCATAAGTGTTCTTTGCTGTGGACTTCGGACAATGTGCCCTGACAACAAGACCAAGTTACGAAAATTCGGTCAACCCACTTTTATAAATCATAAGAAGACTGTGAACATACCCACGGCCACGACATCTTGCTCTTTGTATCTTAGCCAAAAGAATTTTGCTCTTTTTCATTAAGATCTACATAATTTTTAAAAAATGTATATTTAGACGAATTTGTCCATGTAGGGCTATAGTAAAGTTTCTAAATAATACGCTACACGCCCCGGATTGACTCCCTCTAGGGGCACTCATGAAGCCGAGTCAAGGCCAAAACTGCAGTCTACCGTTTTATATAACTACCTCTTGAATGAAAAGTTAAGTAAAATCAAATTATATCGTGAGGCCTATTCATATGAATATAGGAAAGTTCGACTATCAGACCTAGGGTGACTCGAACTCCTGTTCTAAATCTACCGGAAATTTCAAAGCCTACTAAAGTGAAATAATTTATCACCATAAAATACGACTGCTGCTCAACAGGAGTCTGATGTTGTCTTGTAAAAAATCGACCGACGAATTGCTTTATTAAACCCTTCCCCTTAAAATTGAAGTACTTTATTAAAATATACCTTCTACTAAGTATTATTAAACTATTTCAAGATTCACTATAAATTTATTAAACGATGGTTACTTGCACTATGGATTAAAATGCTATTCATGGCATCCAATCTGTCCTAATTAAGGGTAGCTAGCCGTGCTTTGGTAAAAAATGTCAAGAAGTTAGGGTTTTTACCTTTATATAAATCCAATTTAGCCTATATAGTTACTTTAACTTCGTTCTCCTAAATAGTTACGTTTGCAGAGGAACTAGTAAAAATACAGGACTCGTTTGATCTTGCTTTCACAACTTGGTCATATTGACAGGAATGTATCAAGTCTAAGGTCTGAATCTGGAAATTATAATGCGTACTATGGACTCCGGACAAGGTACGTTTTTTTAGATCTTCCTGCCAATATGGCCAAGTTGTGTAAACAAAGACAAACAACTGCTATACAACGAAATTAGACCGTGACCATACAAAAGGACACACCATCATGCTCCTTATATACTTTCTCTGCATCCTCTTCCATTCTGAAGATTGCTTGTTTAACATGCCACAAGGCGATGTTGTCTTTAAGAATGCCCACTAAAAATTCGACATAATCAAATGTTTTAACATAAATAAGCAGAATAGATCATATAAAATGTAGCTGTAAAACTATATTTAACTGAGCTCATTAATAATTTGTAGGATTTAATATATTTAGATTTTTTCCAATATTGGCTAGCGTGAAAATCAGTTGTAGGCATTGCTCGGTTGTCATTGCAGAAAATATTGAAATGCTATACAATTAGCTAGAACCTTGTCCTATCTAATCCTAGGGTCAGATCAAAATGAATCAGCTCGAAAGCTAGGACTACTCCAACATCGAGAAGGAGATCAAATTTCTCCATAAATTCACGTTAATAAAATTGTCTAAATGGGCTCTCTAACTGACCCATTTCCACAAGCATTTAAAGTGGCAAACCTTAAAGAATGACATTTATCCACAATAACCCAAATATCAGTAGAAAATCTCGACTCCTGATTGACACCTAATAAACACTTGACCTGCTTTAATTATCGTCTTCATTCGAGCAAAGTAGTATTGAGGCCCTGAAGCTGCAGACTCCAAAACGTTTGGATTCGCTAGCACAATATATCATTGAGTTTTTCAGTAACTAGGTTTACTTTATCCCTTATTTGGACAAAGTCTGTCAAATGGCAAAAGATAGCTCAACACGGGTTCATCGGTGTTGCAGGAGGGTGAGTTGAGGAATTCAGCATACAATCCAACGTTCTTTAATCAAAGGAAATCCTTATTCAGTTATCCTTAGGACAAATGAATAAATTTTCTCCAACCAAGTTCTCCTTCAAAATGTGAATTCAGTCACATACCGGAATATTTTGCTATTCTCCCCCTTCTGAGCCCTACCTAGTAGTTTCCCATGACTGAGAAAGGCGCGTGCTGATGAATTATCAGACAAGAAAAACTCATGCATGTCTTGCGTCTTCGTCTCCGAATTCCTAAATAAGCGCCTGGTTTTTTTGCCATACCTGGTGTCTGCTATATGGGTAATGTCGTTATTGGAAATCGTCATCACTCTGAGAGATGGTTACGAGATTTCCGCACCCCTCAATTGTTGCAGATTTGGTCTCTGATCTGTAGCTTTTCTATCCGATTTTCTGAAATGATTCGTGACCATTTTGTGATAATTCTAACCCTGCTGGATAAGTTGTGATAGCATGTTTTGACTTAATTCTTGACCTAATTCTGGGTCCTATGTCCTATGCCAGTCAATCACATATTTTGGGCTCTTTGCCTAACAAAGTGCTCTGTATTGAATTTGTTATGAGCCTGAATGCTCTTCCTGCTTATCAACTTCAATTGTATTTGGAAATGAAACGAGAGTAATTCTACCCTCAATCAAGTAGCACGAAAGTATGAATATTTCAATACATTCCTCTTTGCCAAACATCTTCCATGCCGGATTGCATTTCGGCATCGTCCAATCATTTAATTACCAACTCAGCGGGATTCGAACACTGAAATTGAGGGTTGAGGGGTAAACAAACCACTCCTAAGTCATGCTTGTGGAAATGGGTCAGTTAGAGAGCCCATTTAGACAATTTTATTAACGTGAAATTATAAAGAAATTTGATCTCCTTCTCGTTGTTGGAGTAGTCCTACCTTTCGGGCTGATTCATTTTGATCTGACCCTAGGATTAGATAGGACAAGGTGCTCGCTAATTGTATAGAATTGTGATATTTTCTGCAATGACAACCCCTAAGGCAGGCCACGCTTATTTTGGCGATAAGAAAAAAGAAATATATCTTTTTACTGACCTAATCTGGTGCTAAATTTTGTTATTATATGCAATCAGGCGTCTTTTATAGCAAACTGGATACCCTAGATACTGATTTTGCTACTACTAACAATTTTACTTTAGTAGGGAAGCCATACTTGACGTGTAGTATAACGAGGCTAAGTTCGTGTGGCTTTGGAAGAAGTGTGTTTGCAAGTGAGGAAAGATCAAATCTTTTGTCCAGTCTGGATGAAAACGACTAATTAAGATGCATGGTTTAATAAAATACAATCTAAAGGCCAGATCTTCTCTTCACTGTAGTGTAGGAAGGGTCCCTAGCAATTCAGTACAAGAACGGGTCAAAATATTAGACCTCTACCACTCGAGATCTTTGATAAATCCCGCCAATTTCAGCCTCAGCTAGTTTATGAGTTGGGTGCAAAGAAGCCTCTAA